TGTCATGAAAATCCCAGATAATGGTGGGCCACTGTGATTTTCTTTCCAACTCCATAATCAGTAATCAGTGAGGCCACATTTATAGTGGGAAATCAGCCATGGTGGGAGTATTTACATCATGGAGATTGGTGACCTTACAAATCAGGGCTCATTGTTTTTGTTTTGTTTTTTGTTTTGTTTTTGATTGCCCCAGGGGCTGCACTTTTTTCTGCAAAAGGCCAAATAATAAATGCTTAGAGAGACATACAGTGTCCCATGAAAATTCTTCTTTATTTTTGTTATTTTCTTTACAGCACTTAAAAAATGAAAGAAACCATTTTTAGCTCAAAAACTAAACAAAATCAGGCCTCAGGTCACATTTGGCCCAGGGTCTACAAATTGTTGCCCAAGGTGTAGACTTAGAAAAGAAAAGGAAAAAAGGTTGATAATGTAGATGAAACTTCAAAGTTTGTCGTATTTGAAGATGTTTCACTGCAAATAGAACAAAAATTAACAAAATATCCTTCCAGCATTCAAAAACTATTTTCTAACTCCATAAAGAATTTGCCCATGTCATTGATTTTAAGAACACAAGAAGTTCTGACATACATAACATCAGTTTACTTTTCTTTTACTCATTAATGTAAATGAAAATATCAGCCAACATTCATGTTAAATATATTACTGATAATAAATTTATTAGGGAAATAGTAGATTGGAATACAACTCTATTTGTCAACTCATAATTGTAATGACAGTTGACTACCAATGAAAAATCAAGGAAAAATCAAGGAACATGTTTTGTGAAAATCAATTGGCTATAGGCTAGATGGAAGTTATGATAAAGAACATTGTGGGCTGGGTACAGTGATTCATACCTACCACTCTGGTAGGCTAAAATGGGAGGCTTACTTAAGGTCAAGAGTTCAAGACCAACCTGAGCAAGAGCAAGACCCCCTCTGTACAAAAAATGGAAAAATTATCTGGGTATGATGGTGAATACCTATAGTCCCAGCTACTCAGGAGGCTGAGGCAGGAGGATCACTTGAGCACAGAAGTTTGAGGTGGCTGTAGCCATGGCACTCTACTAAAGGTGACAGAGCAATATTTTGTCTTATAAAAAAAATTTTCGAAATTGTGTGCTATACATTCTTTATCTCAATAATATTTTTTAAAGTTTATGTACATATAGTCATATGTACATTTTCCCAGAAAGCTATTATTTGACATCTACTGCACATCACTGGTTATGAGGATATTTTTTAAATATGAGGACATAACATCACTGGTTATGAGGATATTTTTTAAAAATGCCTATCTTATCCAAGTATAATAAAAGTATTTCTTGTGAGCAGTTGGTCCATATGGACTGATCTGTATGCAATAAGCCAGACCTGCCCTCTGATATTAGAAAGAATCCCCTGCAGTAAGTGTGGTATAGTATTGTATACACACATGCATATATATCTACACAAGTGTGCTTGTACAAATATATGTGTGTGTGTGTACATATATATATAATTTTTCTATATTAGTCACATTCTTTTATTTTTTATTTTTTGAGACAGAGTCTCAAGCTCTGGGCAGAGTGCCGTAGCATCATAGCTCACAGCAACCTGCAACTCTTGGGCTCAAGCTATCATCTTGCCTCAGTTTTTCTATTTTTATTAAAGATGGGTCTCACTTTTTACTCAGGCTGGTCTTGAACCCGTGAGCTCAAGCTGTCCATCTGCCTTGGCCTCCCAGAGTGCTTGAATTACAGGCATGAGCCACCACACCCAGCCACATTCTTGACTTAAGTCTTTTTATTTTCTTCTCAATTATGTCTAATATAACTTATTTTATTGTATTCTTATAAGTCTATGTTATTCTTCAGAATAAGGAAGGGCTTAAAAATAGATCAATAAATTTTTTCCTGAGCTATTTCTATATAGATAATATTGAGGGTAAATTTGGGTTGGCTTATTTATTTTCAAATCAAACCATTTCACAAAGTATATGTACTTCAAAACATTTTATGGGTCAATTTAAAAATAAATAAATGAATTTGAAATAAAGGAAGAAGAGGTAGAAGGGAAGGAACACATAATTTAAAATTAAACAATCTTTTTTTTTTTGCAGTTTTTGCCAGGGCTGGGTTTGAACCCACCACCTCCGGCATATGGAGCCACACCCTACTTCTTGAGCCATAGGCGCTGCCCCTTAAACAAGAATCGTTTTCTGTTGGGTTGTTTAAAATCAAATTCAGAGAGTTTTGCAGCAACAGAGCAGCAGAGGAAAAGGTGGCAGAGTTAGATAGAGTACAGCAAGCTGATCCATTGATTAGAGGAAAGAAAGCATTATCTTTGTGCTTTTAATATAGTGTGATAAAGAGGCATAAAGGTCATCTAACTCAGCTACCATCTGATGCCTGAATGTCCTGCAGGCTGTCCTCTACCAGACACCTCTAACAGCAGGGAGCTCAGCCCACTAAGCAGCTCTGTTCACCGGCAGCTTTTCTCCCTTTTCCATCAATTGATCCCAGGCCCTTTTCTCTGTAATAATACTGAACAAATTCAGCAACTCTTTCACATGACTTTCTGACAGCCTTTCCAATATTTAAAGGCAGCTTAAATTCTTCCTTCCATGCTGTGGGCTAAATCCCTGCAGTCCTTCATCCTCACCTGGTCTTTCAGGACTTTCTCTAGAGACCTTCACACAAAGGAGTTCCCAAAGAGCTGTGTCCTCTGTTAACAGAATTGGCAGAGGGTAGTTCTGCAGCATTTCATTATAATAATCTCTTCATGCTCAGTGATTAAGAAGGTTGGCTCAGGAGCATGACCTGGGTTGCATCAGCTCTCTGATCTTGTACCATTTCTTAATCCTTAAACTTGACTATTGGTATGTAGTGGGGACTAAAATAGTACACATTCTGCAAAGTTGTGAAAATTAAATAAGGTAATGCATGTAAAACGCTTGAATGCCCACTGTGTGCTAGCTTACGTGTACTATCTCATTTAATTATTTTGATAGCCTAATGAGAGAGGCTACTGTTTTCATCTGAATTTTAGAGATTTGAAGGCTGAGCATGTTGGAGATCCTCTGTTTGCTCATCTAAATTCAGTTTTCTTCCTTTACTAGCCAGCATTGCACTAGGAGAGGGACCCAGGTGGGCAACATTGAAGGGCTCCCTTACCCTCTGACCTCTTATGAGGCTGAAACACAGGGAGCACTGGAAGACCAGGAGAGTGGGGAAAGCAAGGCTGAGCCCTTACTACCCTATGCAGTTAGTCCCTCAAAGACCACACTCCTCTCCAGGCAGTCACCTACACACAGTTCCCCTGAAGGCTCTCCCCCTCCTTCTCACTGCTAGGTGTAATAAGAGGATACTGTAATTGGCGTCAGGGTTCTCTACTATCTTTTGTGACTTTCCTACACCCTGTCATCTGTTTGGGATATTCATTAAACCTTTATTAAATGCTCCTCAAATTTCCCTCTCATCAAGTTAAGATGTCAGCTGTTTTCTATCAGTCCCCTGTTCAGTATGTGGAGATGCAAAGAGCTTAGGTACCAGCTCAGGTACTGCCTTGGTCCCATGACTCACAGTGGCAGGGGCAGGATGAGCTCTTGGCTGACCTGAATGAAGAAGCCAGACTCCCCATCACTGCGCTGTGCTGACTTCTGCTGTGTAGTAAGTGAGCAGAAGCTATTAGTATCTATAGCATACATCATCTTATTTGAACACAAAATGAAACACAGAATTCAAAATTAATGTGAATAAGTAAATCTCAGCATCTCCTTCATTGTTATTCTTATGCTCTTAGAAGTCATGCTTTGGGGTTATGTTTTTGTCTTTTTAGAAAAAATTAATTGTGAGTTTGTATCTTATAAGGCTCTGGAGATGATTTGTTCCTTTCAGAGGATAACTGCATACTACAGCAAGGAAAAAGTGGGGTAAACTGAAGCTATCCCTCAGTATCAAGCAATTTATGTGCAAATATCTAGTTACAATTTTCGCTCTTTATGTTTTAATTATTAGGATCAGAAAGAAAAGAATACAAAGTAAAAAAATGTGAATTAATACCTTTGGAGTTGCCCAGATTTTACCATTGGTTATCATAATTGATAGCCAGATCTAAATTTTCTTACCTGAATTGGTTTTAACAGAGCACCTTTATTTTTGGATGGCAGAAATTCCAAATTGAAAATGGACTAAATATTGGGGAAAATCTCAGTCAGCGGAACATGTTTAACTACTTACTATTGTACTTTTTTTGTCAGTATAAAAGAAAAGTGTAGTTCCTCTCAACTCTGTCCAATACTGTTTATATTCCTGTAGGAAAGAAATCATAAACATTATTCATTAGTATATATCCAACTATTTTTCTGTTAATGTCTTCCTTTGTTATTTCCTTTATAACTTTGTTAATTACTTATATGATATAAGATTCTTCTTTGTCTTCAGCGATTCACCTAATTTTTATGACTTAACTTTATAACCGATTTCTTTTTAATGACAGAAATGGTCTTTATAGGTTACAATGCAAACTCTGAGAGGATAGGACAACTCCCACACCTGGGCTGTATCCACAGATACTGCTGATGCCTTTAAAAGCTGATTCTCAAATTAAATTTTTCTCAAGTTAATTTTAGTATAATGTTTGAGATAACGATGCATAGTCATGACCCCTAGAACGATGCTTTGGTCAATGACAGACCACATATGCTGTAGTGGTCCTGTAAGATTATAATGGAACTGAAAATTTCCTATCACATAGCATAAGGCATTAGTTGCATGTTTGTGGTGATGCTGATGTGAACAGACCTACCGCTCTGCCAGCCATATAAAAATGCAACACATATGGTTATGTACAGTATGCTTACAATGACAATAGACAACTATGTAACTGGTATTTACTATATGAGGTCTGACATTTAAGTTCATGAGGTCATCATAGAAAAAGTGCTACATGCCTCACTGGCGAATATCACTACGGTTGCCTTCAAAGTACTCCCCTTGGGAAGCTGTGCACCAACGACAGTGCCTAGTCCACCCTTCAAAACAATTTTGGTCACTTTTTCTGGAATGACCATCAGAGTTATTGTCATAGAGCACACAAAAAATGCACAACAGTAATGAATGCCCCTCAGCAAGACACCACCACATATCCACACAAACATAGCTGTGCACCAAGGTTATGAAAACTTAGTGAGTTGTTAATTGTCAGACCTTCATACAATGACAATTCTGATGGTACAAGTATACCATTTTTTATCTATTATGCTTTTTACTATACCTTTTCAGTATTTATGCACAAATACTTACCATGGTGTCACAATTGCCCATAGTGTTCAGTACAGGTTTGTAGCCTGGGAACTACAGGCTATATATACTTTATAGCCTTGGTGTGTAATGAATTATACCATCTAGGTTTAAGTATCTGGATGGTGTGTTTCTGCCTAACAACACATTTCTCAAAACATATTCTCTCCATTAAGCAGCCCATGTCTGTAATTTGATTTGTGTCTCTAAAACTTTCTCATTGATTTAAAACTTTTTATGCAGTTTCAGTGGAAGTTTGCACATGTAACATGTGCATTTTAAGGGTCCAGATAGGTAAAGCGTATGATACCTACTTTCTAGGACTGATGGAAAAAAATGAATGAATTAGCTAGCATATAGAAGGCACTTAGCTGAGAATACATGGCTCATAGTTTGGGTTCAGTAAATTGAATATATTATACAGATCAAGGAAATGTGACAAATTGATAATGATAAAAAATTTAACACCATCAAAGCTCAACTTTGAAACTCAAATTTCATTCATGTGGTAAATGTTTAATCATTACTGCATTTATATTATTATGGGCTCTATAGAAGTACAACTTTTTTTTTTTTTTGAAACAGAGTCTCACTACGTTGCCCTTGGTATAGTGCCATGGCGTCACAACTAACAGGAACCTCAAACTTGGGCTTAAGCGATTCTTTTGCTGCAGAGAAGTAGCTGGGACTAGAGGCACCCGCCACAATGCCCAGCTACTTTTAGTTGCAGTTGTCATTGTTCTTTGGCAGGCCTGGGCTGGATTCGAAGCTACCAGCTCCATTATATGTGGCTGAGCTACAGGTGCCAAGCCTAGAAATACAACTTTTTAAGTTTAAAATATTTAAATAACTGAGTCAGACATTCATTTTACCCAAGTGAAAGTCTGTTTAAATAATTATGAAGATTGGCTCTATTACCAAAAGTGGCAAGTGAGTTTAAAATTTAAAATCTGTTCACCTTGATATCCAGCTCTTTCTAAAGTAAATTTTAAAAATTTCAGTCAGTTTGATTATTCAATCAGTTGATTGAATATCAATATTCAGTCATGTTGATTATTCCTTCCTTTAGAGTTTAATAAGCTAAAACATTTGCAGTTTGTTAAACCATAATGATTTATATATTGAGGATTAATTTTAAAAAGTTACATAATTTTTTTTCTTTTTTTTGGAAATGTGAATCTACTTTATTTTATGATACTTTGTATCTCTTCAATATTGACATACTTGCCAGGTGCAGTGACATACGTATAATCCTAGTACTTTGGGAGGCTAAGGTGGAAAAATCATTTGAGGCCAGGAGCTGGAGACCAGGCTCAACTGTCTACAAAAAAATGAAAAGAAAATAGCCAGCATGGTGGCATGTATTGGTAGTCCCAGGAACTTAGGAGGCTGAGGCAGGAGGATCACTTGAGCCAAGGAGTTTGAGGCTGCAGTGAGCTATGATGATGCCACTAGTCTCCAGACTGAACAACATTTTTTCTCAAGGAAAAAAATTGACATACTGTGTATCCTAATTTGGCCAGTAAAACATTTGTCACATCTTCAGTATAACCTAATCTTGCTTTTATTTCCCTGCTCCTAGGAAACTCAAGGTTTCATTCATTTTGAATCACAACCACCTTTTTTTCCCTCATGTTCATGATAAAACTATTATCTTTCTAAAGTGCCATATTAACTACCTTTTTCTACATAACAAGCCATCCTACAACTTAAAGGACTAAACCAGCGAATGTTTTCTACTATATTTCTCACTACTCTGGCTGGCTGATGGTTTTTCTGGGTGCACTTGGCAGTAGCCAAATGGTCTAGAGCAGCCTCCCTGGGTTGTCTGGGTCTTAGCTGAGAATGCCAGGGGTGGGGGTGAGGGGCAGAGATGACAGGGTCAGCTGGCCTATACTTGTTCACATTCTGGCAGGATTCCCAGGAGAAAGAGCGAGCAAAACCCAATGTAATTGCATATCCTAAGCCTTTGCTTTTGTAACATTTTAAAAAGGATGTCCCATGATCCAATCCAGGTTCAAAGTGTAGAAAAATAGACTCAACCTTTTTGTGAGAGGAACAGAAAGGTCATATTTCACAGGCAGGCACATACAGTGAGGCTTGAGCAGATTGGTGGTAGTACTGCAGTAGGCTACCTCAGGGGCAGAGTCTCAGTTGCGGGGAAAGGTGTCTTTACCCAAACCCTGAATTCTTTCTAGTCTATCCTACACTGTGATTGAGACCTGGCTAAAACATTTAACAAATAGGCTGATCCTTCTGAACCAAGAATGAATTGCTATAGAAAAGAACAACTTAAAGGACATATGACTAAAGGATCAGCCAGTAGATGGTCCCCAAGGGGGCAATTATAAAACTGGGCAAAGAGGTTCTTCCTCTGCCTGAAACCTGATGCCCAGTATATACCTGACACACCTCAGAGTCAAGTAGCTTAATAAAACAGGACAACACATCTTAATGTCAATTCCATCAGAAGTCTTTTCTTTCCTTTTGTTAAATATAGGATGTGAAATGTTATGCTATCAAAATAGCCCTTTGCCTGTTCTTTCTTCCTACACTCTGAAATCTGTCCTGAAAGACAGTGCTGCTAGAGTGACTTGTCCCCTTCTCAGAGGACAGGACTGAGTATCTGATATGTGAGTTTGGGAGCCAGCATGTGCAGCTTGGCCCTTCCCTGCCCTCTCTTAGCTCAATCCATGAGGAGAGAGTGGGTGTTCTTCTCTTGTTCCCTGCCATGTGGCAAAAGGCCTCCAAGAGCTGCAGGCTTGTGGCTTTCAAGCTGAGTCAGTAAGTCAAGGTGCTCAAGGCTACCTAAGTCTGGGGCAAAATGTAAACATGATTTTGGCCTTTAATCTAAACCACATATAGACTTAACCAATAATAAAAGCAATCAATTGGTTTTTATTTGTGTGATTCCAATGTCTGGTTTCAAACTTCAGGGAAGAAAAAGCCTAATAAAAGGGCATTTAAAAAAGAAGAGTAGGGCTCAGCGCCCATAGTTCAGTGGTTAGGGTGCCAGCCACTTCCACCAGTGCTGGCAGGTTCAAACCCAGCCCCGGCCTGCTAAACAACAGTGGCAACAACAACAACAAAATAGCTGGGTAGGGCAGATGCCTCTAGTCCCAGCTACTTGGGAGGCTGTGGCAAGACAATCACTTAACCCAACAGTTTGAGGTTGCTGTGAGCTGTGACACCACAGGACTCTACCGAGAGTGACATAGTGAGACTCTGTCTCAAAAACAGAAAAAAAAAAAAAAAAGAGTAGGCCAACAGCATACTTTCAAGATTTGGAAAAATAATTCTTCGTTTTGCATTGAACTAGAAAAAACCCCGTATAGCCAAGGCAATTCTTAGTAATAAAAACAAAGTCAGGTGCATCAGCCTACCAGACTTTAGGCTGTACTACAAGGCTATAGTGCAATGGTTCTCAACCTTCCTAATGCTGCGACCCTTTAATACAGTTCCTGTGGGTCATGACCCACAGGTTGAGAACTGCTGCCATAGTGATCAAAGCAGCATGGTATTGCCACAAAAATAAAGACATAGACATCTGGAACTGAATAGAAAACCATGAAATGAAACTAACATCTTACAGCCACCTAATCTTTGATAAACCAAACAAGAACATACACTGGGGGAAAGAATCTGTGTTCAATAAATCATACAGGGAGAATTGGATATCCACAGGTAAAACACTGAAACTGGACCCTCACATTTCTCCACCCACTAAAATTGATTCAAGGTAGATAAAAGATCTAAATCTAAGGCATGAAACAATAAAAATCCTCTAGATAGTGGTGATGGTTGTACACGTTTGTGAATATATTAAAAATTACTGAATAATAATAATAATAAAATAATAATAATTGTGTTTCCTCTGTGAAAGCACTGTCAAGGGAAACCAGCCTGCTACTGCCTCAAAGAGTTGTTGAAGAAATGAAGGAATAATAATGTTTGTAAAGTACATAGGATCTAGGACATAGCAAGTATTCAATATACTTTGGCCTACTTAAAAAAAGAAAAGAAAGAACAAAAGAAAGAAAGAAAAAGAGCATTTCCTCATCCCTTACATTATTGGCAGGAACTTTGGGGATCTGTGTGTGCCTCTGTAAGGGTGGTAGTCTGAGGACCTCTAAAATAGATCTCTTTCAATGGAATTACATTTAAAAAGGAGGGAATATTTTGTAGACCAGAATAATGAAACCCATTGTCATTCCTATATAAAATCACACTTTTATGTTTTCTTAAATGAAATGACAAACACTACATTGAGAAACTTGGGTTGAGAAGTTGCTGATATACAGTGGCCCTGAGATCGGTCAGAGGTTCTGGAAAAGCCATGGGAGTGATGAGTCTTTCACTCTGTTGAAAAAGACTTGAACTTTCTCAGTTTTGGCCTGCAATTCAATAACACACAAATCACATTTGTCCCTGGAACTGTTTTGTTTTGTCACAGCCTGCGCCAGTCTCTGAGCTGACAGGAACAGGTCAGGCTGTTCTGCACTTTAGAGCTGAGGGACAAGGCAGGCGTGGCGGAGACGCACATGTAGGTCATATTACTCCTGCACCTTGACTCTCTTTGAAGTCTTACCAGAGCATGTCTTCTAAGGGTTAGTCCAGAGTCTGGATTATATGATGTTTAGAAGAAAGAAAAGCAAAAGAAAACCCTGAAATCAAAATCTGCCACTGTTCATCCTAATTAGCCTCAGTACAATATTAACCTGCCAGAGATAGGAAAAACTCATGTGACAACTAGTCAGTTAAGGCTTACTGACTTCCTTTTGTATGTACACACATACATATATTTGTGCTCCTGAGAAAATTTACAAAGGCATTCAGTCACAGTATTGTGATATGAATATTGGGTGGAATTTAATCAGGGAAAAAAGGTTTACAGGTAAGCAAGCCTATAGATTTGTAGAAAGAACTTAGGAGATTTTATTAAATGGGGGAAGAAACAAGTATAAAGGCACTGAGTTGAGAGCAAAGATAGCCTTGGAGAAAAAATAAAAAATAAAATTAGTTTTGAAGGATATATCTTTGGATAAAATATATTTAGCACAGGTTTCTTTTTTTCCTTTTTTTTTTTTTTTTTTTTTGGTAAAGCAATCAGTTGTGTTAAAGCACTAAAGTCAGAAAAGGTACTAAAATAAGACTTGTGAATTTATTGCTAGCTTCATAATCATTAGATGACCTTGCATTTAGAATTTAAGGTCACTGTCTCATTTTCATTCAGTTAAAACATAATTTTGAAAGTTTCCGGAGCTTGCTGATAAGCTCACTGTGATAAAATATCTAGTGGTTAGACATTTCTAGCCTTTGGAAACCTGTAGTCAAATAGAATTAGAACATGAATTTGGCTATCAACGGACAAGGAATCTTGAAAATAACCTCTGTGAGCCACAACTCACTCATTCATGAAGTGGACAAAATAATTTCTACCAGAAGAGTTACTGTAAGGAAGAGAGTGACAGAGCATTAAGAGCCTAGTGCCATGTCCACCATATGTCACACCTCAAAGGAATGTCCCTGTTACCGTATGGTCCATTTGGTCATCATAGCAGCACATTCAGTCATGCAAGAGAGAAATCATTTCACAAAGGGGGAACAGATTTGAAGATATAAAGGAATCCTCCAAATTCCAGAATCGGACTGATATTTTTATCTCTTAACTCCCCATTGCTCTTTTCTCACTGATGTAACTAGTAAAAATGATTTAGATTAGGATTAGCCAGTTTAGAATGCAAACTCCCTATTAATTTCTCTTCCCAGATAAAAAGCTCCCATTCTTTCTTTATGTGAGCCAGCTAGTGAAATACATTTGCCTAAGAAAGGATGCTGTATAATGGTCTTTTTCTTGTTCTTTCTAACCATACTAATGGCATGCCTTCTTGAAACATTATAAAGAACCTGCTATCAGAAAGTTTTATTATAAATACTTTGAAAGACATTCAATGAATAACAAAATTTAAATTACAAATTAGAAATTTCCTTTTCTCAATTCTCCTTTCCTAGCAAAGTGTTATAATGTGGCCACCTGTGTTGATAACATTGAAGTTACCCACAAAATAAATTAAAAAATTATAATATAAATGACAAAATATTACTTATATATGTTTAACACCTATAACAATACAAGTTACCATGTCTTTACTTACAAATAATAAATTATGTGATTACATATATAGGAAATACGAAGGTTCTATTATAGATATGTTCAAATATATTAGTATTAATGAATTAGTATTAATGAATCCTCAGAAAATATTTTATTATCATCAGACATTTGTATGGTATTCTGAGAAAACATTTATAATTTTTCTAGGTTCTGTCAATATAAAATTCAATAAAATTTGATCTGAGTTAATGATTTCTTTTCTCCTCTAGTAACAAGCAATTTCAGTTTCTTTCATTAATTTCAACTTAAGCACAATTACTATTTTAAAAGCAATGATTTTAACTAACTATAGATTTTAATTTTTACATGTTAAATATGTGCAATGCTTTGTGGATTTTCTTAGAGCAAATGTATTTCTGTAGCTTAGTGTACTTAATACTCACAATTGCACCCTAAATATTATCTCTTAAAGCCATTATCTTGAATAATGTTTTTAGTTATTTATGTTGTATGACTATACATAATGATAAACAGTATAAATTTTATCTTTAAACAATTTTTGCAAAAGTTTAGCATTATTATGACTTAATCATTACCTTTAAATGACAGAATAGGAGCAAATGTATAATTTCAATAATAATAATATTTTTCTTAATGGTACAGATCATCATCGAAGTTTAGTAGTAAATGGTAGAGAAAATGTAAGAAATAATGTATCTCCTAAGCCAAAATATTCTGTAGTGTTTTAATAAATTATTGGAAAATTTATTGTATTGAATTTTTATTTTAATTACTTAATATTAGAACCTAATGTTATTTACATGCATGTATATATATGCTTGAGCCATATTTTACATTTAAATTATGAAAAATTGGAATTATTTTTCTGAGCTCAAGGAAGAGGGTTTAATTCCAACAGAAACATCACTTTACTATGAGATCAATTTTATATTAAGACAGAAGTTTTAGGTTTAACATTATCATCTATAGACTCACCTGATATCCTGACCGCTTGACTAATAAAAAACCTTCGAAGTACAAGGGCAGAGCAGTAATCTTTAACCTTTCCTGGAAGATCCTGCGAGGGGCTGGTTTCGGGGGTTTCTTAGCCATCATACCTCTCTTTGGTATGTGGTTTGGTTTTAACTATATCCACTTTCAAACAAAAAGAAATCTCCCTTGTGTGAGAGGAAAAGACAACTGTTCAAAGAGGAAGTCCCAACTTGCTTTTTAACCACCAGCACTACCCCCAACAGGAAACACACACACACACAAACACATACACATTTGTTCTTCACTTTTTTGTTAAGGAAGAAAGAACTGGCATAGACCAACTTCTAGGGGATAATCTCTGAGTAAACTGCACATACTTAGATTTACAGAACCAAAATAAACAGAAGATTAATATCACCTGAAGTTGAAAGAAACAGGTGTAGAGCATGTGGACTTTAGGGCAGACATCAAGGACACATTTGTCTTTTCTGCCATCTAAAAAATTTATTGTGGTCCATTTTTATTTCCAGAAGACATGACTTGAGTAAGGTCTACTTCATTAAAAATTACTTCAGGCTAGGCACAGAGGCTCACATCTGTAAATCTAGCACTTTGGGAGGCCAAAGTGGGAGAATCACTTGAGGTCAGGAGTTCAACAATACCCTGGGAAATACTAAAACCTCATCTCTACAAAAATAATTATTTGTTGTTGTTGTGGTTACAGTTTGGTCAGAGGTGAGTTCAAACCCTCCACCCTCTACAAAAATAGTTAAAACAGCGCAGCACTAGGGTGGCGCCTGTGGCTCAGTGAGTAGGGTGCCAGCCCCATATACCCAGGGTGGCGAGTTCAAACCCAGCCCCAGACAAACTGTAGCAAAAAAATGGCCGCGTGTTGTGGTGGGCACCTGTGGTCCCAGCTACTCTGGATGCTCAGGCAAGAGAATCGCCTAGGCCCAGGAGTTGGAGGTTCCTGTGAGTTGTCTGATGCCATGGCACTCTATCGAGGGTGATAAAGTGAGACTCTGCCTTTACAAAAAAAAAAAAATAGTTAAAACATTAGCCAGGCATGGTGGCATACACGGGTAGTCCCAGTTACTTAGGAAGCTGAGGCAGGAGGATTTCTTGAGCTCCAGATGTGGATGTTAAAGTGAGTTATGATGATACCACTGCACTCCAGCCTGGACAACAGAGTAAAAAAAAATACTTTAACAATACTTTAAATAAATTTATTAAAACTACTTTTGTCAGTTAAATATTTCAGGGCTGAATTTTATTTAAATTAAAAAAAATGGTTTTCCTAGCTTATGCCTATTTTGGTAGTTCCCTAAAAATAATCCACAGTTATGTGAACCTGGAATTTTTCACTTTTTGTTAACAGGTATGGGTTACCAGAGGACATTTGGTTCCGTGGTCTGAATGTGTCTCCCAAAACTAATCCCTAATGCAACAGTGTTGAGGAATGTATAAATGCCATGATCGAGGGAGTGTGTTAAAAATGAGTACATTTTTTGTAACAGAAGGTTTGGCTTTCTCTTGCTCACTCTTGCTCTGTGTGGATCTCTCTTGTTCTTCCACTTTCTGCCACAAGATAATGAATATGAAGGTCTTGGCTGGAGACTTGGTCTTCCAGAATCATAAGCTAAATAAACTTCTATTCATTATAAATTACCCAGTCTGTCATATCCTGTTATAGCAACACAAAATTAACTAAGATATTTAGCTGAAAATATCAGGGAAAGAAAGCTGTAAGTTTTCAAACTTTTATTTTGTCCATTTATGTTTTCTGAGCCGTAGCTCAGTGTTACTATGATCCATGGATGGGGTCCCTACAGTTATCTAGTGAGATTTACAGAGCTACACTGGGGTCAAAATGCAGTCAATGATTGCATGTGGGAAATGGTCTTTGAGAGACTGGATCTGGCCTAGCACAGTTCAGGGAATGATGGAAGAAAAGACTATTAGAAGGAATTCTGATTTGGGTTCCAGGGTCCTGAGAATTTCCATCATTGCCTTTTTCATTGCCAGCATTTCAGAACTAGTCTAGATTTAGGAAGGGGGCACCCAGTAAGACCAGCCCATTCTCAAAAATCAAAGCAAGCCAGGGATCTTCAGCCTGGTCCTCCCCTAATAGGGAGACCACACAGTTTTCTTTGCCACTGTATGTCCCACTAACCCTGCAGCTGCAGATATGGAGGCTAAGTTGTCTACAGAGTGAGGTGGGAGAGTATAGAGTAACAATCAGTAATTAAAGGAGAGTTTTCAGATGCAGCATCAAAATGAAAACAGTAACAGAAATTAGGAGCTGGAGATTTGAAATTACTGCTCTGCTTTTGTAAGTCTAGACTTTCTTCTTGCTACTCAAACTTTCCAATAATAAAATATAAATCCAACTTAATTTTCTTTTTTGAGACACTCTCACTTTGTCATCCTTGGTAGAATGCTGTGGTGTCATAGCTCATAGCAACCTCAAACTCTTGGGCTCAGGCAGCTTCCTAAGTAGCTGGGACTACAGGCACCCATCACAACACCCCACTCATTTTTTGCTATGGGGTCTCACTCTTGCTCAGGCTGGTCTCCTGAGCTCAGGCAATCCACCTGTATCAGCCTCCCAGAGTGTTAGGATTACAGGTATGAGCCACTGTGCCTGGCCCCTAACTTAATTTTTTATCATCCCTAGTCTCTCTGCCCACGTCCAATTTAATTTTTTGAGAGAAAAACTATAACTATTTTTTAGTTTCAGTTTACTATGAAAATGACTTAAATGGCATAGAGAGCTTTCTAATGGGATAAAACCTGTGCATCTTCTTAACAGCTGGTGGATGATGTAATACAGGAAGTGAAAGGAAGTATAATAAAAAGAGGAAAAGGAGAAAGATGGGATGCTGGAAATCATAAATGATTAGAGTATGAGAAAAGCAGTCATGGACTCTGTGGCTGGAGAGTTTCATGGGAGAGAGAAATAAATGACTCTAGAAAATATGTAAAGATGGAAATATTTTTGTTAAATAATCATCTGGTTAATGATGTCTTTTACAGTTTTTTAAAAGTAAGCACATTTTAAAAAAGAAATCCAGTTTATTAGACACTGTAAGTTACTTTCTTCTGCTGATCTGTAACATCAAATTCATCTTCAACATGCCAAATATCAAATTATGTCTCTTTTTAAAAAAACTATAAAATGTAAAAATCTTGCTTAAACATTTCTAGTCAGACCTTTCTGCAGTTATCAGAATCACTGTACCACTGTAGCATTGCAATGGAGACCCTCTTATGTATATTCAAGTATGAGGCAGTGAATAGTGAATATGTAGATGAGGACAAGTAGAAGAAAAAATGTGTGGGCATGGGAAGAGAAGCCAATTTTGCTGCTAATTAGCTCTGAGCCTTAAACAAAAAATTTAACTTCTCTGGATCACAGCTTCCGTGTCTATGAAATGATGGGATGAATTAAATGACTTCTTATCTGAAGAGCTACAGTAAGCTTCAGACTACTGATTTCTATTCTTCTTATACTCTAATTTATTTAAAAAGCAATCTAATCATGACTCTCTGTCAAACAGTTTAATGGACTCTCATTGCTTTTGAGATTCCTTCTTTTGTTCTTTCAATGAACACTAAATATTTATTGAGTACCAGAAATGTACTAAGACATGACACAGAATGTCCTTCATAATAGGGCCTTTTAATTCTCAAGTCCTTAAAATACTCTCTACTCTAGTAATTTTGTTTATTCTCAGTTGTCTCAATACCCTATCATTTTTCTTATCATCTCAAACATTTTCAGTGACTGTACTCTGTGCTTGGAAGCCCTCCCTCCCCCTTGTTTATATGACAATGTCCTACTCATCCTTTAAGATACATCCTTTAAGTATACTTAATTTAAAATGATTCAACTTTAACAAGTAGTATGACTATTCACCAAAAGATGCTTATTCTGTATCATAAATTATAGTTGAGAAAAAGGCAGACAAACTACTACTCTTGTTAACTACTCTTGTTAATTACTCTTGTTAACTTTTTTGTATCAATACTTTGTATTGATCCTAAAGTTACAATGTAGTAAATAAATGTTCTATCCTCTTTTTCTTTTCACCATAAATTTACAACTAACAGTTAAAGTTTTGACAAAACTGTGTAACAGTCATGAAATGATCAGAATTTTATTTGCCAATTTTCACTCAAAGTAATTTAAAATTTTTCAAGGCTAAAATTATGATGTAGAACTTTATTATTAACCTTTAGAAAATATAAAACTGTTTTCACTGGCAAAAGTTCATTTTTATGAGGTAAGAAATATTTTGATTATAAGTAAACTCTTAGGACACAGAATGGAGATTTGAGAATCTAGTGTTATTTGTTGTTTTCTTGGATTGAGAGAAACAATAAAATATAATTGCAACTAAGAATTAAGTGGTTGATATAAAGGTAGTTTAGAAAATGTGGAAGTCTGTTCATTAATACAGAATTTTACAATTAAGGGCTCATCACAGACCTTAGAATTTATCCTACAGTAAAACCGTGTTTTTGTGAACATTGCTGCCACCTACCTACACATTGCAAGTATACTTTGTTAACTTTGTAATTATGATCTAGGATAGCAGGGGGCAGTCACAGTTGTTTCCGCCCGCAAAGGGGGAGCCAGAGCCCCCCCATTGTTATCCATCTCAGTCTTTAAGCACTCACACACACAGAGAATTCCAATCTTTTTCCTAAGCATTCCAACCTATTTCCTAATTATTTCAACCTATTTTCCAACCTGGGCAGCCTTGGTTTCCCACTCCAAGTGCCATGAACGGTACTCCGTAGGCATGAGGACTTCATTATGCTCCCCTCTGCTCTAGAGCAGGACCTTCTGACTGGCCTTACCTTGCCTCAGATGTCTCCCAGTGCAGGTGCCAGTTCCTCCTAGTGTCTGACTCCTTGAAGACTCACTGAGGGGGTTCTTTCACCACCCAGTCAAGGCATCCACACAGGGAGGCAAAACTGCCATCCCTGGAAAGTGGTTCACATTGTCCAGGCTGATCGGGCCCCCATGGGTATCAAGAGAGTTGGCGGCAACCACCAGGTGAGTTTGAGCCTGTGCTCTTCTCGGGTGGTCTCACATCCTGCTTAGGGAACCAGAA